TACAAGTATCTCTATTGGATAATATCTTTCACGTATTCAATTTTATGTCTCTTTGATATCAAAAATCGATCAATCTAAGGTTCGCACTAGCAATTGAAACGAATTCATACAAACATGTTTCGTTGAAATAGGTAATCGAACTGCTTAGTTTCTCTCTTTGCAAGTCAAGCAATCGCTCTTGCTTTGCACGAACCGCTCGTATTGTTTTTTGTAGTTACGATCCAACGGAATGTTCTGTATTTAATAAATTGTGTTATCTTGAAAAAGGGGTCAATAACCATGCATGGTATAAATATTACATTTATAATAATTGAGTCGCGTAATTTCTGTGCTTGTACTATATTTTCATAAATAATTCTTTTTCTACCTTTATACCATAAATGTTATTTTTTCATATTGTTACAAATTGCAGAGGATATATTATCGTATGTTATGACGATGTAAATTATTTCATATCATTGCTCTTCTGTCGATAGTGCCTTTATAACTCTCTATAATAGGATAACATTGACTTCAATACAATAATAGCCTGCGTTGGAGAATGAAGCTATTATTAGACTTCGTCTGTTCCAGAATTTATATCCAATTACGGTAAAAGCGTATCGCGCGCTATCACCAGCCGCCACCATCATGGTAATCTTAAAATCACATAAAACATTCAGAAGACCCGTCGAGGAAATAGTCCAGGAAACGTAGTTCCGAAAGTCATTGAATTATGAAGTGGGGACAATGGATTACAGGAGAAGGTTGGTTTCCGCGCCGGCTGCGGGCCGGATGAGAGACGCGAAACTTGCAAATCAGTTCAGGCGGGACATTCCGTTTTAATGCGTACCTCTTCTCATGTACTCGAGAATGCGCGAGTGAAGCTTAAATCACTCCAAAGGACACTTACGTTTCTCCAGTCAACCGACAGGATTTCTTCAACCGCGAAACGTCAAGAGACAATGATAATGAGTCGATATCACGCCCGAGCAGAATACTCAACATAGCGGAATTCTATCGAATTTTCAGTCCAAATTAGGATTCTGGCCTGAGAAGTTTTCACAAACAATTCTCCAATTTTAAAAAAGTTTCACTTGGACTAGGACTTTGTAATTTTGCCCCGTCGAATCGTGTGGTTGATTCTGCATTTAATCATATTGGTCATTTTGCGATGCGCAATTTCCATAGTTTTCACAACTTATGGTACTCCAGGAAAAGCGACTTGCTTAAAAAAATTGCAGAAATCTACATATTTTAAAAATGAACGATTGCAAAAAATAATATTGAATAAATTTGGTACGAACAATGCAAGTGATAAATATTAATACTTTAATTATCAACTCATTGAGATATGTAATTGTTTTTATTCAATCTAAAGTTTATAAACTCTTGAAAGAAATCATGGAATATACTATGTTTCTGCTTATAATACTTACAATTTTTTTATTTTCTTTTGCGCTTTTGTTCACGTGCAAAGATATAGCGAATTTTTCTTTCTGAGCATTTCACTTCTAGCAATACTGCGAGTATTTGATCGAAATAATTTTCTGTTTCCGAAGAAAATATAATATTTCAGATTTTCTGTCCTGTATTACTTTATTCTTCTTCAAAATTACTTCAGTCTTTGTTCTTTGTCAAAGAAAAAGAGAAATTTTCCTTTGAAAATGCTTCATTTATTCACAGATCAGCAAAAATTTATTCTTGAAAGGAAGAAACAACTTTTGACTATATTTTTCCAAATTCTTTAACTCTTCCGTGGTTCCTTTAGCATGAGTTTGCCTTGTCCAAGAAGATATCTTGAATTCCGGTTTAGAGAAATTTTCACATTTCGACAGCGGTTTTCCGCGGATTTGCATCTTTCACTCGAGAACGCTAAATTCCTCTTAGGACGAATCTCGCGTTGAATCCGCGATGAAATCCATTCAATCTGTTGCATGGCGTGACCTATGACTTTCCACGATTTATTTCATGCTCTTTCTCACAAGCAAAATCGAGATTTTCTTCCCTCTCATACCTGTCTCGTATAACTTGATGAAAGTCTGTGTCTTATGTCTTTACATTATTTCACGTTTCACTTGTTTCAATTTCTTCGATTAACTTGTATGTCTTTAAAGAAACAATTCTTAAGTTGCAATAATTTTTAATAGATCTTGGACGTGTAATTGTTCGATAAAGTTGAAGAAGTCGATAAAGTTCCAAATGAAGCAAAACTGAACAACTTTTTTGTGTCATAAAGAATAAACGTTCGTTTGGCTGAACGTTTTTCTAACTATTCGCTCGATTACTTCTGGATTTTTTCCCTACAAAAAATAGATAGGGACAGTCGTGGAATATTTCGGGATGTGACGTTTTATTATTTTTCCGATATCGAGTAACGCTTTATGTGTTGTCTTGCGGAAACATGCATGAGAATTTTTCTAATTGCCGTAACGCTGTCAAATATTAGTTTTGGTTGTATTTACTTTCCACACACGTCAAACCGCGAGAACATGAAAAATTTAGGTAGTATACGAGTATGTTATTATCTCGTGTGGTTTCGTTCAATATTTTTTGAATGTTCGCGCGCGTGTTTCTGCGTTCAATCAGTATTTTTATTAATTTTCTCTACATTTGTCAATACCATTTAAATTAACGTTACAGTTTATTTTATATAAAATCATGCGCTTTTTACAAATAAATAAAAATGGATACAATATATTTTATGAATTCAAATCAAACGAAATATTCTGTCAATCAGTTGTTAGAATTAAACGTGTAACATTTAGAGTAAAAATAATATCATCGAATATTTGATAAAATATAAATTGCGTGGTACAAGTAAATTGTCAATTATTATAATGTACGTCTGTCAAATTAGCCTGCGCGCGAAAGCAAGGCTAACAAGATTCGCGCCAGGCAAAAGGTTTCCAGAGGCGACTCTGAAAATCCTTGCCGGGACGTCACCTCCGTGCCGGAAGGTTGATCCTTTGCGGTCAACCCGAGCGTGCATTTTCCAGCTTGCGCGAAATATAACAAGAAAACAGAGTGCGACTGCGCGACGCTCGTTTTCCGCCAGTTTGTCAGATGCTTTTTCATGATGGGATCAACGTTTACTTGTAGGATTTAATTATACGAAGTTGCTGCTCAGAATAATAGTTTGATGGACGTTCTCGTTTAGCAAAAAGGATAGAGGTAAAAAGTAAGAACAGAATCGCGGGAAGAAATGATAGGATTCGTGCGATACAATTGATCCAATTCAATTACGAGACAGCCGTGCTGGCGCACAAGCTTACTGGTAGAAATCGATGTAATTGCACTCGTTCTTCGTACTGGACTTTACCGAAAATTGGATTTCTTGTCGCCGCAAATCCTCCAACAGCTCTCACGACATCGTCGTTTAGTCCACTGCATCTTTAATTATCCGTTTCTGCGTCACCTCTCTTTGAACTTCTGTAACCGTTAATTAGTAACACGTTTGCATGAATAAAATTCAGCAGAGAGAATCATATTAATTATTTTTAATTTTAATTCAACAAAATTAAATTTTAATAAAAACATAATAAAGGTATTAATATGTATGCTTTAAACTAAAAAAAAATTTGTTTAAAAAAAGGTAAGGTAAACTTGCTGAAATCGTATTTGTACTTAATATCACGGATTTCGATTAAAAATGCTTATAATACTTATGGCTATATAAAATGTAAATAATTTTATATCAATTACTATTTACATTTTATACCGCAAAACGTTGTAAATACCTTCAAATCGAAATTACACTAACGATACGATTTAGGTACAGGTACGATTTAAGCAATTAGAGTTTACCTTAATAAACATATGATACACAGAACTTGATATAGATTTTGATAAATATTCTTTAAAACACTACTATTTATAAGTTTATGGCAATGATTTGTGTAATTGAACTGTAACAATAATGAAATTAAGTTAATAATTCCTTTGATTCTCCTTGTGCGTAACAATTGATGATATTATGATGTTGACTACTTAATCGGTGTTGATTATACCAGTATAATACCTTCAATTCGCAAAGCAATGTCAAATGATTTATAATTCCATTCATCTCTCGTTCTATCTCCTTCATGTAATTACAAATGGTATATACACTGAGGCTGAACAATGATTTGTGAAAGCTCTTTGAACATCAAACGCAAACCGAGCAGAGATCCTAATGAAGCATCCTGTGGACTCGAGTATTCTACCGCATATTGTCTCCGTATTATGAACATACTTGCCTGTGTTTACGTTCATACACTGCAGTTGAAAGCAAGGAGCCTTTAATCATTTCTCTCATACGTCTTTAATCACTGTATCATTTACTGCATCATTACTGTCATCTATTATTGCGATCGTATATTACTATATTTTGTACAATTTAATAGTTGTGATGATATTTGCTTCATCTGCTGAAGAAGTACTCTTGACACATTGTGATTATTATTACACGCAATGACATTTAAAATAATTTAAAATCTATTAGAAAGTCTTATGTTTTTCTACGTTTTCCTATTACTTTGATCTTTCTGGCGATTGCGGATATCTCTTTCTGTCTTTCTGCTCGCATAATTATTTTTCTGGAACTAACGAGTTCGCATCTTTCTATTGATCAACCACCGTGCAGCGGAGGGATTATACCCATCGCCGAACCCGTCTCATCAGAACGTGGATCGCGCATATCTTTTCGCTTGCACGAGGATGCACACGCGATGCATCTCATACATGACACAAGAAGAAGGACCCCTCGACAGGCAACGACCCCGAATTGAGCCTCGAGTTCTTTTGCCTCTAATCTCGCGAAAGAGAAATGCGAGCACTGTTTCGTCACAGAAAATTGAGAGAAAACTGATGATAAGGAAAAAAAAAGAATAAGAGAAAAGAAAAATGGATGGTGAAAAATCGAGATGGGAGAAAAAGGATGGAATGTAAAAATGCGGATGTAAGGACTCAGCGGGATATCGTAAAATCGGGAAGATGTTGTCGACTGATCACGAGAGCGAATCTCTCTTTCTGTCTTCCAGGCACGGCGGAGACAGACGCGGTACAAGCACTTTTGGCCCGTTACCTTCAGCGTCGTCTTCAAGGCTCTCAGCTGTCGACGCCGCCACCTCCGTCGGTCCTCTTCAGTAACAATCATCGGGCCCACGTCCGACAGGCCACTCAGAGAGGTCCACCCAACAACAATCTCGTCTCGCGAAATGTCAGCGGCAATGATGGGGACCACCGTCCTGTCCTTGAGGATTACGAAGATTACGAGGACGACCTCGAGGGCTACGAGGACAGCGAGAGGAGCAGAACCAGATTCGATCTTTTGGCGGGTAAATCGCGATTCACCTTGAACAATATCTGCAACCGGTAGAGAGAGGTTTATCGTTAATGAGATTCTTTAATTGGAAATCAACGTTTTTCTGTGGCGTCCATTATCTCGTTTTCTTTCTCGAATAGGAAAACAAATTTTGTTCGCACATGATGGAATGCGGGCATAGAGGAAAAACGAGAAAGAGAGAATGCTTTTGTGCTAAAATGGTCATACGTCGTAATGTTGGTGATTGGTTGTTTTTTATAGATCGCAATGAGAAATAGAAAAATAAAGGAGAAATTATGCAACACTTTAGTATAGTTTCTGGGATAAACGTAGGTTTTTCAAAAGTGAAGTTAATATTTAAAAAATTCTCTGAACATAATATATTGCTTTTTATTATTAAAAATTAACATAATTATTTAAAACGCATTCTGCTTAATTATAACATTTAATTATAACATTTAATTATAATATTTAATTATAACAATTTAATTATAACAGCTTAATAGCTTATAAAAATTTATTAAAAATTAATACCGTTTTTTGGGGGGGAAAAACAAGCATACATCTTGCAATATTTTATGCAAACGGTGATGGTTATAAAAAGACACACCAAAAATCATAGTCACATAGATTTTGTTTCCTCAACGGCAGTGCAACAAAATTATCGTTGATCGTATGTAATGCGATGACAAAGGTTTAGGGAAGCATGCATTGACGTCACAATGCTCTGCTTCTGTTCCGAGCTTAAGTTGCACTGAACCGTAGTGAATCGTTCAGGATCGGACATACATGGGACGACATCAACAACACGCTCTAAATCGCACGTGGTGTCACGACACGGTTTTATGATTGTCGACTCTAACCTGATTCCGTCGATGTTAACTTTTTGACGAATTATGTATATGATATATAGGGAGCATAACTCTTATAGTCTATAATTGTAAGAATAGAATGAAAATTGTAGCATAATATATTTAGGAAATAAAAATTGCGATTAAAAATTAAATGGTAATTCAAAAATAAATAAAAAATAATTAAAATAGTTACGTCTTAAGTGTTAAAACTAAATTTCTCTCTCTTTCTCTTTCTCTCTTTTATTTTAATAAAAGTATCGACTTTAAATACATGCGAAATCTATTTTAATGAATCTTTCGTGAAATATGAAAACACATAAAAGAAGATGACATGGTTATAAAACATAATGGAACGTTTGAAAGCTCGAAACAACATTTACTCTGATGTACCTATGTCGAGAATTGTTAGATAAGAGAATACAGCACTGGAAAATCCGGATGAGATTCGACGAGAAATAAGCAATACAGAGAAAATGGTGATGAAAGTTGGACAAGTACGTAAAATCGACCGGGATCAACATAGGATAGTTTCACGTTGTTCCTATCGGTTTTCTGTTTCAAAGCTTTGACGCGGCTTTTACAATCGCGACGCGCGGATGGATTTTTCGACCCGAGTAATACTTGTTCTCGCGATTCGTTTTGTACGAAATTGGGCGATAATTTAATTTCTCTTTGTTCCTAGTAAAAGTCTCTGACATTTTGCACACATCAAATAATTTCCGCACTTCTAAATTTCTATGACGTGGTTGGACATTCAATATACAAAAGTCGATGAAATATCACACACACACACACAACAAATATATATATATATATATATATATATAATGATTTATATATTTTTAACATTACATTAACATCGAGCTATAATGTATGTTTCGATAAATTACACAAATTGTATTTCGAGCATTACTAAATTGAAGCGTCGTATTGTATTATACGAAAATATAACATTATTTATGTATTGTTATCAATTTAATGTTTTTGTATCATTTATATTGTTTATTATTATTTATGAAATGTTAAGCATCGCATTTATTCGTTACACAGGGATAGTGTTTTGAGAAAAATAGATATAATAAAAGCTTTACATATTTTCACATTATGATCAAATTTAATGAAAATGCGAATCATATTTGTAAATGCAATTATTAATACTGATAAACATTTAATTCAATTCTGTTTTATTCTAGGAGAAAAATGATTTTATTCGATTTAATATCTTGAAAAAGAGATTTACCTTTTTTACTATTGAAACATTTTCTTTAGTTTACGAGCGTACATTGAGTTTCTGCAAGAGAAACTTTGTTATATAGTCACGGAAACTTTAAAATTTAATGGAACGTACATGGTGGTAGAAAGGTTTCTGAATATAGAATCAACTTTTCCGAGGAATATATCCTATACGAGCGTATTTAACTTTATTATGATTCCAATAAAAGTAATATATATATAATTGATAATATCGATTGATAATATCAATATGAATTTAATTCTAATCAATGTGTATAATGTTATTTTTATTCGTTTATTGAAAGAAGGTCGATGGAATAACTGGCAAAATATATATAATATTTGTTATAACGGGTGCTAACAAAGAACTACGAATTGCGAATAGTTCAAGAGATGTGCGACATAATGGGGACATTGCAGAGAGAAGCCGAAATTATCGACACACTCTGCATAGTGTCAATATTTTTCCTCTTCGCCCACTTGTTCTTCATCCATACATTTTTTTGTAACGAAATGATTTCGCAAACGCAATTCCTTTTTTACCGTCCGGCGATTTAACTCCACGAATTCGATATTCCATCGGCCGCGCTGTCGTGGATTTAATTGAGCACAAGGGGTTTCGATATTCGTCGAATGCAATATGCAATCGAGCGACCTATCCAATCAAATCCTCGTACGCTGTCGGCTGCACTCCGTTGCGGCGACAGACTTTTGATAAGTTTTACTTGCTGTTCCTTCATTCTTTTGTTGTGATTTCTCTTCGCATTGTCGTGTGCTCTTGAATTTAATATAGCAGCGTACATCTTAAATTTTACACGTCTATGTTTCATATAGTATTTTAATCTTATCTGAGATAAATGTTTTCGTAAATATTTGTCAAAATTTCTACAAATTATGTAGTAAATTTAATTTGTAACAAGAACACATCTTTTGATGCTAAAAGTACGTTTTTGGGATTGAAAAAAGTTTTGTTAATAGTTGTAATTTTGTAAAGATCTTTTCTAGTTCATAATTGTAAACAATAAAAATATTTCAAATCATATTACTATATAAAAATTAGAAAAAGTTGCAGAGTCACTAGGATTATATGTTCCAATTATGGGTTAGATGATTTATAATTACTTATTATAACATTATTAAAATTAATGTTTAATTTAATTGATAGAAACTTACGAATTTCTCTCACACACTGAGAATCGTCTTTTTATATATTATTCATTTAAATTACAATAGATGAAATGTAAGAGAACTAAATAAAAAGTGGTGCAATACTCAAATTAAATAACAACAGTAAAAAAGATTATATAACATGAAAAATTATACGTTATTATACATTATTACATATTTTTAATTTAGGATAGCACAATTTATTTTTCTATCATTACTTTGAAAATAACATAATAAACCTGAATATCGCAATTTTTTTCTTGAATTACTGAATGTCAGAAAATCTACTTTGTGTAATTTTCATTAATTTTTTTTTCGTTAAATTTTTTATTCGAGTGGTTTTCGACGATACTTACGGAAAGGAAACGGACGGATAAGAGCAGAGACGGATATGGCCGGGATGAAAAGAATTGTCGACAGTACTTAAGATATCACTGCAATGGACCGGCTGTCTCTCAGAAGGAAATGCATTTGCGCGTGGGCTGCACAAACGAGTACTCCCGAAGTCGCTGTAGAATGGCTTGACAAAGACAAATAATGCACGGTTTTCGCAGGTACATCCCATTCATGCAAATTTTTATGAAATTTTCATGAGGTAGATGTAACACTATATGCGCGAAGTTTAAGCAGGGTTCGCCCTTGAAGTACCGATATGCTACGCTAATCCAATGCCGCTTAAGCGATTATACGTAGTCACAAACACCACCTGAAGCGTTTTCGAAAACACCATTTGTCCCCGTCATCATAAGTTTACCGATATACATGTGCATATATTCTTTAAATTTTTCAAAGTAAAATCTCACTCAAAATGAGTAAAAATTCACTCCAAATGATAGTGACAATAACATACTGCCACTCGAGATGGAGTGATCAATCATAGTTAATATTTCATTTACTTGAAGTAAAACATCGCAGTCAAAATGATTTTGGTATAAGATTAGATTTTGATCTAAGAGAGTATTTAAACTTAGTATAAGTAAATTCTTGTTAGTATTTTATCTCTAGGAAGAAATTGATTTTTATGTAATATCAACTCAATAAAATATATCGACACGACAACAAGACGACAATCAGTGTGATTTATTTATCGAACTTTTTCTTGCTTGGTACATGTACTGTTTCCAGTTTATTCTTTAATTAGAAGTGAAGAAAATATTCCATGACATCGAGTGGAAGAATTTACTGTATATGGACGAAAAGTCACTCCAACTTGAATAATTCGGTAATCATTCCATTTTTCAGAATTTTATACCAAGAAATTTAGAGAGTACAGATGCATGTTTGTTGTCATAAATATCCGTATGTATACTGCAATAATTAAGATTGACGATTTATTCAGTACATTTTGCAGTTAAATAAAAAATAGGAGAACGGAATATATGGACTGATTTGAAACATTGCACTTTCAATAGGAAGATGTCACAACTGCAAGTTTCTCATTCTTTAATTAAGAATGAAAAACAAATAATTACAAACATCTTTGAATCCTCGATCTTCAATTGACGGATCACCTGATATTCTTATCAAAGCGTTTAATTTATTTTCTCCTTTTAATTAAGTTTTCAAGAAATAAGAGGTAAAAATTTTCTTAAAAGAGAAGATACTGCGAAGCATTGAAAATTGTTAAATATTTATTTTAAATAGCACGGTAGTTATTATACCTACTTATAATCTTCTATCAAACATTACCCATTATTTAAAAACTGAATTTAATTTTTTGCTATGATTAATCTATTTCTTAATTATTTTGAAAAAATTT